GATCACATATATGTATCTCGGTAACCATTCTACCAATTTGTATCAAATCCGGTATGGTTATTGTGCTTGCCACAGGTATTATTGAATCATGTTACTAGTCAACGTTTTCATTCCTAAACACAGCCCTACGCCATAAATACCGTTTCTTACTTTATAGATGCAATGTTGCAAATCCTTAACTGATAATCGATAAAAGTATTGCGGAACATGATGCTAGTTTACAAAAAGTAACGCTGCAGCAATCACTGTAGTTCGAAAGAACTTGTTTTTTGAAGTTGCAATTTTTAACTATCATCCAATTTGCAAATCTAAAGCTTCAAAAGTGTTACTTTTTTTTTAAATACTCATTATATTGGCTTTATTTGCAATCGGTTACTTTTATTATTTCAATTTGATGTTTATATTATTTAGGGTACATACATACGTAGCATGATTCAACATGAAATTAATTTTAATTATTTATTATTGAATCGTCGGTAAGTAGTACATATTATGTACATATACAACTGCTTGGAAATAAAAATATTCTAGGAAGTTCATATGAATATCCATTGCATTTGGTAATTCCCTCAACATTTAAATGTGTAGCATTGTTAACCCTCGAATGTGTAGTGCTTTCTTCCATCACCTGGATATTGTTTAACCGCAACTGGTCGATACATACGATAATTTTCTAACCAGTAATATAGAGCCAAGCAGCCAGACATAACACCTAAAAAGGTAAGCCAGTATTGACTATTTGTGAATCGTGGCTGCTCAGGCTGTGAGTAGCGATCCTCCCCGTATAAATCAATATCAGCATGTAGCTGCAAATAAAAATATTCCGTTTAGCAAAGGAGACATTAATTTTACTTTGTCACCATAGTGAATGGTCAGTGTTTTTCAAGAAGCAAACATTTTTATAAGTGGTAGGGAATATATTCACCGTCTCATGCAGATTACGCTTATGCTCGGGAAAATCATAGGGGTAGTAGGGATCCTTTGCTTCAATACCAAGTGACTTGCCCAAGTCTGGGTAGTCACCATAGCCTAATCCATTATCCACATATGGGCGATATTCCTCTGGCAGTAGATAGTATTTTTTGGCAGCCGATTCACGTTCCTTGTCCGATTTCGGAATTGTGGCTGGTTTGTAGTCTTTATTCCATGTAGCGTCTATAATACAAATATTAACATAAGCATGTAGATATTTACATATATGAACTGCACGCAGTTACATAAACAAAATGCATAGAAATATGTTATGTTGTAAACTGCAGCGCGGCATGAAGTCGTTTATATACTTACAGGTTTTGGCCAGATTCTGAAAAAGCGCGGGATTGGCAGCTTGCAGCCTTTTAGCTGTTTTTAGGCCATTAAATACAGCAGACATCTTCCGCAAAAGCTTGCTCAACCAGTGTATTTACAAGGAAAATTTCAGCTACGGATGCAAAAAAAACATCGATGCATCGGAAACATCGATGTTTGCTATTCGATGTATCGAATAAAACCGATGTTTTTTAGCCTCTGATATAAATCGATATATCGCTGTATTTTTTTTTCGATGCATCGACTTTGTGTGCAATGTAAACTCTGCATACTAAAATTATTTTGTATGCTTCCAAACTCTTCGCTTAAAACTATGTTCCCATTAGCGTAATTTAGAGGTCACTCTTAATTTACGCATAAATTAAGTACAAACTAAGTAATTTCGCCTTGTAAAGTCTCTCAGTAAATTAAGTTGAAAGTACGTAGTTTATCTTAAACCAAGAACCAAATCACGAATAAATCTGTAGGCTCTAATTTTATCGATAATAATCGAAAAAAGTATTTACCCATAACTGATATGTCATTGTGTTTGGATGTTTTTGTTTTTAATAATCGCGCGTGGTAGTTTGTAAAATATTTCCAGAAGCTTTCTCTTTTGATCACTCATCTAAAATCTAAAAAATTACCACAAACAACTCAGAATATAAAAATATACGCAATTACTCACATTCGCGATCTCCTTTGGTTAAATAAATAATAACACAGGGTTGCTACAAAGCTGTCAAGAAAAATAAAGAATCGCGTGTATGAACGCACTTAATTTAGTGAGGTATTTTAAACGAAACTAAGTATTTTATGTTGGTAATGTGAACATAGTTTTAGTAACTATAGGAGTGTTCGCTATGCACAAAATTTGGGAAATGTTTAGTTATTTGCAGGTCGTTTTTAGGGTAGGGGCAGAGGGGGCAAGGCGTGGCCCCTAAATCCCCCCATTCGAGAGGGGACAGCCCCCGCTTTACGAAAAGTCGCACCCCCCTTTCGGGGCCTCCCACAGACCCCTAGGGAACTGTTTGAAAATGGGCGAAAAACAGCATTTACCGAGGGGAAATTGAGCAGTTTGAAGTGGAATATAACCCAACTAACAGAATCTGTGGGGTTTTTAAATAAAAGAAGTTATCCCAAGGTGGTTATCTGGCAAAAGGAGGGCTGAACACCTTCCGCAGAGAACACCTTTATGCGTAGGCGGCCTTCGGCCGCACTTAGGGATTATAACCCTTAGGCACTAGAATTCTCCTTTCTGTTTTGCGAAGAAAAGGAGCTGAACACCTTTTGCAGAGACCACCTTTGTATATTTTTAATACTTACAGGGTTATATCCTATTTTCTTTTGTCTTTCATTCTTTTGCATATTTTGGAGTTTGACAGCTGAACTACGCCATTTAATTTGAATATGAAACCAAAGTCAGACGCATGATTTAGAAGGTGTTTTTATTTAATAAATTGTGATTAATTGGTTAATATTAATGTTATAAAGAAAGTTATAACTCATCGAGTAAAGTGTAAAGTGAAGGAGAATATAAAAATATATTGCTGAAGTAGCTGCTTTAAGGAGAATAGGAGTGATAAATTTAAGCTAATTTCCGAATTTTACAAAAAAGGGCATATTTCTAACCCAATTTGTAAATAAATTAGTGACCAAAAATTACAAAAAGGGTGTTAAAATAATATTTAGACCCTTGGCTACAAGAGTGTGCAATTTGTTTTTTTGGATCGGGATACCCTTTGGACGCAATACCTCGAAATAGATCGGCAACGTACTAAACCGTACCCCAAAATTTGTACAAGTTGGTACCAATTGTTACCAAATCGTGTTCGTTTAGCCTAAAACCCAGTAAAACTTGCAAGGAGAGAGCACAATTTGGGTTGGCTTTCCTTTATGGCCGTTCGTTAAAGGTTCGGTGGGCGAAAGGTAAGTGGGCGTGACACCCACCTTTTTGGAGAGGGAATGAACCGTCATTGACAAAAATGCAACCCCCGACCACCTAGGTCCCCTATGGTTCCCTAGAGACCTCTTAGAAAAATTGTCAAAAATCACAATTTTCATTTGCGTTTATTCGCTTGAAAAATGTTAAATATTCATTTGCACAATACATTTTTATATACACATTTTTATATACAAGAAATTTTTATAAAACACCCAGTAACCAAAATAGACATCACTGTAGCGGCAGGCCCAGGTTTACCACACAGAAAGGGAATTCTAGTTACCTCATCCTTTCCCAAGGTTACATCACTGGGGCGGTAGCCCCAGTTAGGTCACACAGAAAGGAGAATTCTACGTAGTAAGGGTTATAATCCCTAAGCGCGGCCGAAGGCCGCCTACGCAGAAAGGAATTCTACGCAAAAATACTGTGGACGCAAGTAAAAATTGCGATTTTTGGCCATTTTCCTAAGGGGTCCGTAGGGAACCATAGGGGGCCTAGGTGGTCGGGGGTTACATTTTTGTCAATGGCGGTTCATGCCCTCTCCAAAAAGGTCGGCTGGAGGTGCCACGCCCACTCCCCCTTCGCCCACCGCACCTTTAACGGACGGCCATAATGGAAAGTTTCCCCCACAATTTTGACATTTCATTTGGAGGGGAAGTTGCAAATTCGTGCTGGGAAAATTTTTGCCAGTAAGAATTTACAAGCAGGATTGTGGCACACGGTTGCATTTTTATCAACATTAATTTGAATCAACAAGTTCGTTGTCGATTTACTTATTAAAGAAGTAGGTAAATATTCGTTTATTCAATTAATTTAATTAATTCCGAACATTTGAAAGGTACTCGGCTGAAAAAGCTGTATTCGTAATCGGAACGCACTCGACACCCATGATTCAATAATGAAAGGGTTTTTAAGAAAAACTTCTCGCTCTAATTTTTTCAATGACACTCCCACCCTACTGACAACAAAAACAGTGATATTTCTTTTCCAAATTTCTTTGCAAGTTTTAAGAACATTTCTAAACTTTTAGTAGTGAAATTTTTACCTTTTAAAATTGAAGAAATTTTTGTTCTTCATACGCTGGCGATAACAAGACTAAATGGGTGAGAATCGCTGGACTACAGAAATTCAATATAGGTTAAAGATACCAAATTCCCTTAAATGCCGAAATGTATTTGTCGACATTCGTGGTGACCTCTTTACTGTGCCAAGTCGCTGTAAATTAAAACGCGCGCGTACTGGTAAATGACTCAACGAAGAACTATAGAAAAAGGGATGCAGAACGAACTAGATCTTATTTGTCGAATTTAGAACTAGTTCGAGATTAACGAATAAGCAATGCAGCGGGGGGTTTATTTACTTTACATAGATATGTGTTCGGCGACTTTTTCGTTAAATACGATTCTATTCTGTGCTTCGCATATGCTTTTTCATAGCTTGGTAATACAAAACTAAAATTTGTGTTAACATTTCAACATCTTGTGACCGTCTGGAATTTAAGAAATAACAGCGAGCGTATCTGCAAACTCAGCTACAGCTAAAGGTATGTAAACGTACATTTCTTCATTCAAACAAATTTAATTTCACATTGAAAACACATTTCTTCCTAAATAACTTAAAATCGCGCCACGGATGAACCAAAAAGATTGAAAAATCATAATACTTTTTTCTTTCGTCTGTCGATTTTCGAACTGGTTCGGAACTATAAAATTTAGGACTAGTTCAGAACTATCGAAAAAGGGATGAAGCGGGGGGCAATTGACACTTCCTAGGGCATCGCCATGTTAAATTCGCCAGTTGCTTGCATGCAAAAGAGATTTATCGCGAACCAGTGCTTGGTCTATATGTACTAGAAGCGCACCAGTTCAGAACTAGAGATTTTCCGCACAGGGCTATTTCGTTTTGTGTGCATGTGTCACAGGCACTAACACAATCATGCGTAGTTCATGTATACAAGACTGAAGCCTGTTTTCGGCCGACTACCCAGTCCAGTGTGCGTTCGAGTGGTGGACTGCTCAGTCCGACTGAGCAGGTTAGTGTGCTCAGGCCCATTATGAGGTCGTTCTATTGGTTCCGTTCTGTTGATGCCTGTGTTGTTGTTGTTGCTATACAGCAGAGGTGGGCACCCACACTATCACACACATGCGCTTGTGTACGAAGCAGCGAAGTTTTGCTCAACAGCCAGTGCTCGGATGTTCCCATATTTGTGGAATAGATAACACTTTTTTTTGCAAAATTACATTTCTACTACTTCTACCACCGTAAGCTAAAAAACTTTCAGACCTTGAAACTTCTTTTTTTTTAATTTTTTCATTTGCGCATTAATGAATGGGTATTGTCTACAACAGAAAACAACATTGCTTGCTGCGACGTCGACACATGGATGACATGATCAACTTCGTGCGTCTTACGATAATTGACGATTGACTGATTGGTAGCACTTCGGCAAAGCAAATCAAATCAGTTGCTGCTGAGACTTCACTGTGCAACTATTCGAATAATGCAAAATGTTTCGGGAGGAATGGGAAATACATTTTTTTCATAGAAAACATGGATTGGTGTGCGAAATGCGTGATTTGCTTTCGCGTTATGAGTCGCAATGTTATGTCTTGTTTAAAAAGACATTACAAACTGTGTCATAGTCATTTTGAAAAGGTGAAAGAGGGTCGTCAAAAAAGCTTTTAGAATTAAAAGCAGCGTCCTTTATTAAATGTAGGGTTGGTGAAAGTAATATACATCAACACGAAAATTATCAATGTATATCAGAGAATGATTCTCTATCAGAAAATGATAGATCATTTAAAAAAAAGGCATCTTGGCTTTTTATTTAGAATTTCTAGAAAAGTTTTAGGTATGCAGTTTTATAGCCCATTAAAATTTAGTAGCTCAAAGTACAAATTTCAAGCGCTAAGAAATCGTGTTGGTTTTTAATGATTGGCAATTTCTTTTATATGAAAGAAAATGCCTAGCACCGTCAGCAAAAAAAAAACAATAAATAAACAAAAAATGTAATTAGCCAAAACTGGTCAAAATGTCACTTAACTTAATCAGCTAACCATAAGTGCATATAACATATTTATAAATTTATTTATTTGAATCTACCATATTGTTTTGGAATGAACCACAATTTTTCATGCTTATTTATCACTAAGAAAACTTTGCGCGTCCGAACACACTCAACAGCAACTGATTTGACATGAACCAAAAATACAAGATCACGTAAGAACGCGACGTTGTATTTGTAACTGGTTTTGAGAAAAAAGTTTGCGAAAGCGGGTTCGTAAGACGCACGAAGGCGATGATAGTATACATGTGTCGACGTCGCAGCAAGCAGCATTTTGAAGCCCAATTACATGTGTTTGGAAAATCAAAAAATGCCCGCCTCTGCTATACAGGCATGTTATACAAATCGTACGATTTCAAATCGGCTGGCAGTTTCCATTTGAAACATTTAATACTTTGATTACAAGTATAAAATAATACTTTGCAAATCGTACCGATTTGACATGCCTGATAATTTCTCTTGATATTAGTGCTGGCATTGATGGTTGACTTGGCATTGCTGGTTGACTTCTGAGCTTGTTGTTTTTGGTTGTTGTTAGCAGTTGGGTTTTGCTTAGGGAGCACAGCCGTCGAAGATTTGCTGGCGGGATGTGGGAGAATCCTCGACCCAGAAGGAACGGATAAGCCCGAATCTGATGATACTACAGCCGTGGTGCATGGCAACTGCTGCTGATGCAGACTTACGACGCAAAAAGTTACAACCGTCACAGCGATGCTTCACGTTGTTTGATTTCATGTATTCAAACGCGGTAATTTTGGCGCATGAAACATGGAAGTAGGCGCCACAATCCACACACGCGACTTTAGCAACTTCTGCGCGATCAACCTTGTCGTTACAAAGTGGGCAAAATATTAATAAAAGCTTTTTAAGATGTAATTTTAAGTGAACGCACCTCACGACACAGTGGAAACACGTCCACTCGCAACGAAGTCACTTTTGCAATTCTGACATTCGCCACGCAATGGGGCCTAAACGTACACAACATCAAAAAGTAACACATGCAATGTTTAATCAGCCAAATCTGGCAGAATGAAGAAAAGTAACTAGATGTTGCAGTTGTTAGGCTCGACTGCTATTCTTTTGCAGATTTCTGGCGATGTATTTCCACTTCGTTGAGATAGTTATCAAAATAGAGCAGTCATCGTCGTAGGAAGCCATGGCAGCTGTCCTCAATCATTATTGCATACTTATTCTTTCGATGGTTTTCCTCTATAGCATACTGGCTGCGGCTTGTGACACGCGCATGCAGGTTATGTCGCTTCCGCTTAAGTGATTCTATTTTTATGACCTCGTGGAAGGACCTTTCGACTTTGGGAGCGTCTTCGGTGGGTGGAAGGCAGGAATGTGGCTCGAAAATTCTATCAGAAAATAAGACAGTAATCAAATGGTTTCAAGACCGGGGCTAGTTCCTGCTAAACGAAGATCGGTATTTTGTATCAGACGTCCAGAGTAAACTAGAGAAATGGTGAAAACACGCTCGTTTGTTGAAGAAAACCCCAGATCAATGTATAGGTTGTTGAACGGATCTCCACAGTATGCCATATCCTAGAAAGGACTGTCGCCAAAAAAATTCACACTCACCACCTTTTCCTCGATATTAAAGCTGCTTTTGAAAGCACGAAGAGAACCTGCGTCTACGATGCTATGTCTAAATTGGGGATCCGTGTAAAAGAATAAGGCTATGCAGACTGAGGTTGAGCACAACATTTGGAAAGACCTCTTTGGCCATTCGAGACTCAATAGGGTTTCAGGAAAAGTCGCGGATCATGTACAGAAAGAAAAACAATTGGCAGAAACCCACAAGCGAACAAACCCAAATAAAATATTTTTGTAACATGTATTACATAGTTTCACAGAAAAGTTTTCACGCATAAAAAACGTTTTCTTAATTATACTGTGCTAAAATAGAGAATAATCATGGTTACAGGATTGGTTCTGAAATTTAACTTTTAAATAATAAAAAAACAAATACATATGTAGGTATTATTTAAACAGCCAACGGCGACGCTCAGCATTTTCCTTGTCTGCTTCAATTTTCCAATGACTTGGATCCATCAGATAATCTCTAAATTTAAACATAAAACATTGAGTGTTTTTTTGCTCAAAAATATTTTATGCTTTTGGCAAACTCACCTCTTGTGCGCCAGTTCAGACAAAAGTATTGCCTTAAGGTCTGCGATTTTTCCTCCTGTTCCGCCATATTCTTCCGGCAGTATGCTACGTGGTACATGTTCGTAAAGGCTGTCCAAGCTGACGGTATGAAATCGTATCTTTGAAAAGATATGAGGTACAGATTTTGCACATTTAAACTTTATATGAACATGTAATTATTTTGACTCACCAGTTTGAAGACTTCACTACTTATAAAAGGCTTCATAATGCTAACCACCTTATCCAGATATGGGGGGCAGTTAATGATATGGATTGCCTTTAAATGAACGGGCAATGCCTCCTGCAGGAAAGCCATGTATATGCGCAGTGTACTGAAAGTCATCCTACTGAGGTGCTTCAGTGTGTAGCCATTCATATCGAAAATTTGCACATCACCATTAGCAAATGTTTCTACATTCTCCTCGTCGGAAGCAAAGCCATCATATGTGTTAAAACGACAATCGGAGACCATGAAAAATGCTTTGGTATCGGCGGTATGATTCACCTTGCGAAAATCCAATTTAAACAATCTAAAATTTTTTAAAAACACGCGTAAAGTAACTCAACTAACCTTCGCTGGATCAAAATCTACTAAACGATAACAGCTCACTTTGTAACCTTCTGGTGTAAGACCCGGCAGTGGTATCAGATCCCTGACAAATTTCAAAATAATTGAAATGTCTATTTGATTGCAAGTATACTCACGCATAATCGAATGTTTGTTTACTATCCGCATCGGTTGGGTCACGTTCGAGAAAGATGTGCGAATGCTTATTGCGCATACTGTAATTAATTTTTATGAGCTTCTTGGCGCCTTTTATGTCACCGTACATACATCGGTAGAAGCGCTTCAATAAAATGCGGTCTGGAAATAGTTATTAAAGCAGAGTGAGAATTTAAACATACATAAACTATCATATTTAACAAAAAAATATACTTAAATATAAGTAGCGCGCATCCTATACTCAAAAGTTTTGAGTTTATATAAAGAATTTGCGAGCTATAGCATACTCGATGGTTGATATTCCTCCAACTTGTAAAGGGAAAATATTGAAAAAGGTTGTGTATAACCTCATAATTGATACTTTGTAACAAATTTCTTCATTTTTAAAGAACAACTTAAAAGATGCTCTGAAATGTCAGTGATCTCTAATTATAAACTGAACAGAGTGTATCTTATCTGAGCCCTACCTAACAGGGATATAGATAAGAGGTTCTTTCCCGTAAGCAACGCGGGATCCCGCGGGTGCCCAAAACAGCCCAGAAATCATACCCGTACTCAACAAAATGGGTAATAGAGAGCGAAAATTGGAACGTAGCTTTTCATAAGTATTGTCTTTTTCTTCCTGCCGGAAACAGCTCGGACTTTTTCTCCGGTTAAAAATGGATGAAGTGTCAAAGTGCATATCAGCTGTGTTAATATGTTGCCTACATTTACTTGGTGCTTTTAAGGAATAGTGAATGGCATGTTGATGTATTTCTAATTTGTATGTACTTAAAATCAAATTTGTGAAATAAAAATTCAATTTCCTTGAATGTGAAATAACACAAATTTGCTTTATTTCATTTCTCGTTGAGCAATATGGCCAACTTTTAAACTTAACAATTAAGTAATAAAGCAAAATAGTGCCCATAGGTAGTCCAGTTACATTTGACAAAAAGTAGTACATGAACAAGTTAAATGGAGGGATTTTTAGAAAATTTAGAAGTCTGAGAGTAGGTAAAAGTATACATATTTTTACATCACTATTTCACACCTCATGTTCGCCTCGTCTTCGTAAACGAAATACACATTTCGGATATGGTGAAGCAAGTGATCAAGACGAATTTATGTATACAAGGTGGTGGTACTCGCGAATTTAGGTTTTCGCCGCGGTACTTCATAACCTCAAAATGATGTGTTTGTTGTAATATGAAGTCCCCTTGTTTGCAACAAACACAAAACATTTTCCACGATTTTTTTTAATTCGATAAAAAAAATCCCAAAAATCAATGGTACTTGAAATTGGGCTACAAAACTGCATACTCAAAATGTTTCTAAAAATTCTAATTAAAAAGCTCGAAATTTTTACAAAGTTTGTTGATTTCTTTTTTAATTTTGCACAAAGATTGAAACTTGGATTTGTATGGTTTCTGTTAAAAATATGCTATACCTTTAAAAAACAATAATTAAAAATAAGAAATTTTAAAATAAATGGTGAAATCTTGCCAATATGTGAGTGTCGTAAAGTTATGATAAGAACTATTCACATTCACATTCAACTGTGTAACCAGAAATTTGAAGGGGGATAACAGCAAAATGCGTAGAAAAAGCGTTTGCCGCGTTAGTTACACTATGCGACAGTCAAAATCGGGATGGGATGAAGCCAACGGGAAATGTTATATCGGTCAAAAACAAGTTATACGTGGCCCGGCGTTTCGCTGTGACGGCGAATATGCTTTTCCGTTGGTTAACAAACTTCTCCGCATTCTGACTACACTTCTAGCTACTTCAGAAAGAAGTTACCCTTCGCCGGTTAAAAACATGGTTCCATAGTACCATGAATGAAAAAAGACTGATAGGTCTAGCACTTTTACACGTACACTTAGGGCCAGTTTTTCAGTGACTTAGTTTAAACGCCCGAGCCGGCTGCTTTAAACTAAGATTAGGCAATCAAATGTCATTCAGCTGTTAATTTTAAATTCAGCTTACGTAATCTAAGTTTAAACTGCCACTGAAACTGGCCCTTAGATATTGAAATTGACACTGATAATACAAAGATTCCCAAATGGAAAGCGCAAAATTGAGTTTGCAATTTAAATTAATATAATCAAAGTTTCGAATAAGTTGTTAAGTTACTGAAGCAGTGTTTGCATTATTCAACTTCGCGTTCAACAATTGCGTTCAACTCAACGCAGGGTTGCACGAAAAAAAA